CCATCAAAGAAGTTGGAGATTGGACTTTTCCATGTAGAGGGAAAGAACTGAAATAGCCTTGCTTTTACTATTTATTCTTTAGCTTCTTCAGCAAACTCAAATCCAAGTATAACAACTGTTTCCCTAAATGTGCCAAATTTAGACCATCAAGCTCTGTGTTGTGCAGATTGACCCAGTGTGCTTAGGATTAAAAACAGAGAACTGTTGGTCAAAGCACTGTGCAGCTCTCACTATCCTTTTATTTTCCTAACAGACCCCTACTGACCCACTGTTTTAAAAGTGAAATGATATAATTTTATCTGTTGACTTACAAGAATATTGAAAAAACTTAACTCATACTAAGAAGGACAACCCAAGATGTATGACTCTTGAAAACAACAATGCTTAAAATAAGGTTCCATTATTTATTTATCTGTATTGCTATTGGAATATTTTTGCAACATGTCAGCTTTGAAAAGTCCTTTTTCCTGCCTTTCTCAGTTTAATTACTACATTTTGGTTGAACTGAGAAAATTCAGGCACTTACATTCTAACCTAATTGTTCCTTATTTGCAGTATTTCTTGATTCAGTTGGAGCGATGTCATTTTTCATTTGATTTTAATAAATTCTGAAGACATTCTTGAAAGATATCACAAATATATTTATATTAGAAAGTACTTAGAAAATTATGATAGAAGAACTATTTATAATTTTATTTAATTTTAACTGAAGGACAGAGAAAAGTAGTTTTATAACACAGATTCTAGATAAAGAGAACCAATGAGAAAAGAATGTGCTTTCCTAATTTTCAGTAAAGCACTTGGGGTGTTTACATATTAGGATCTGTTTAGTCACCTAAAATCATGAGAATTAGTGATAAAATGCATAAGGACCATGATGAAAGGGAGATGATGTGGGAAAGTACCAGTTTGAGAGGCAGTTATTATTGAAGTTCTCCAAAGACCACCTGGAAAGCAAAATTTCTTAAAGATTGGAAGTGCATAACTTTGAAGCTTGGCACAGCAAAAGTGATGAAAATTATTGTTACAAAGTACAAGTTCTTATACTTGGTTAAGAGTAAGAATTTATACTATAGGCTGAGAAGTAATCTACTGGAACGAGCAGAGTAGAAGAAAGTTATGTGGACCTCCTGTCATTTACATGGCAACTGTGAGGAACCGGATGAGATCTGTGTGAAAATGGAAATTGCATCATGCACACATATTGACCAAAGTCTTTCAGGAAAATATATGTATTAGTTGATATATTCCACTTCATTAATCCTAAATATTGTGTAAAGTTTTCTTCAATGTGTTTTAAAGAAGGATAAATTCAAACTGAATCAAATACAGTGATAATTTCAGTAACAAAAACAAGGTGGGAGGAGCCAGAAGAACTTTGCTGGGAACCATCAAGCAGGAGGAAGGGTAGGAGACTTTGCCAATGGCTTCAGCAGCCAGGGAATTTATCAAACCCTTTCAACCATCTCTCAACCAGTGCAGGAATATCTCATATTTAAATGATTAATTTTGATTTGGTTTACTTTTTTGGGGATGGTTGGTTGATTTTGGTTTTGTTTTGTTGTTTAAAATCTTTGATATTTTTGAGCCACTTCAGTAAGTGTTCCTTTTCCCTGGTCAGTGTTAAAGTTCTAAAATGTCCTCTCAAGAGTTAATATTTATTCTGCTTTCACTCCTTTTGTCCTATTTTATAATAGCTTTATTTTATTTCCAGACAGATATTTTTACACAGTAGACTGTTTTAGTCTCATAACTATACTTCTAGCTTTTATTTAAATGTTTGGGTTTTTTTGGTTTTGTTTTTTTGGTTGCATTTCTCCCCATTATCTAAAAGAGTGTGTCCAGTAACTTTTATAATTAAGAGCCAAGGATGCGTGTCATATTGATACTGCATCTGGAGGAGTTACAAACAAACTCATTAATATGGTACACCATAGCAGAGGATCCATGTTTCTAAAAATAGCAAGCTATAAAATGTAGTCTCTACTGTCTACCTATAATATTACTGCTTTGTAACCAACAATACTCACATTTACTTTTTTGTGTGGTGATGGGGTAAGTAAACAGAATTAATTTTGCTTCCAATTTTTCTAAACCTTTACTCTGTTTTTTCATTTAAGTAAATAAAATGTGTGTGACTAAACTTCAAACTGTTATTATTGATCTACAAAGGCAACATGGAGGGAAAGCTAGGAGCCATTCTAGTCGGGAATATCTCTTAGTGACACAACTTCAGTATCTGTCCAAACAGTATTTGCTCTCAGAAACATTTATTTCTTTCAAGGAGAAAAGAAGCGATGGTAAATACATAATTTCATTCCCAGGTATATGTTTTATATTTCCAAAGGAATGTCATAGTGCCTGAGCTCTGAGACATGTGCTGCTTTGTGCACCTGACAGCTTTTTGCACACACCACACCCCTTCCCCCAGCAGTGTTTGCCTCTTTCACTGTGGTTACAGGCAGGTAACAGAAAGGAATTTTCAGGGAGTTACCTGCCAAAGGTACTCCAAGCTTAAGGCTTTTTGGGTTGGGTGGTACCTTCCCCACCCCCATCCCTCCCCCATAAGGAGAAAATATGTGCAAGAGTTTTCTCTCAAGGAAACAAGAAAAGCTACAATGTAACTTACATGCCTTTTTTCCTATTAAATAATAATATAAATATACAGAATTGTAGGATATATGAAGGTTTTTACATAAATGTTCAGTATTTACATATATGTTCAGGAAAGAAGTGATTCTAGAGCATTTATTAGAATAGGAGTGTTTTCATAACTTTTAAAGAATATATAACATCAGTGCATTGACTAGTTCCAGGTAGTACAACTGTTTCTTCTTTTTCTTAAATTCTGCGTTTTGCCCTTTTGTTACAATGTAGTCATGAGATAAAAACTGCAAATGGCACAACAATGTATTGTATTGAAGACAGAATTTTTTCAGAAATTCTTAGGGAGTTTTTCTGGCAAAATTAGTGTTAACACCCTATATTATTTTTATTGTTGTTGTTATTATTATCATTGCTATCTTAATTATTATTTATGATAAAGTTATCATTGCTATTAAAACCAAGGCAGTTTAAAAAAAAATTGAACTCTTGGTGTCAACAATATGATAGTCTCTTGTTTTGATTTCAGATTGCTCATGCAGGAAATGTTAAGTTTTATATTTGATAGATGCTCTCTTTTCTAGTGTCATCTTCTAGTTAAAAATTATAAGATTATTATCTGTAATTATAATTATTATCTGTAAGAGTAACTGGCTTTATTTAGGTAGGTATCTATAGTAATATGGAAGTTAATTGAAAAAAGGCTTTGAAATCTTGCAGAATTTAAATTATCTGTGTCAGTTTATCATGTGAAGGTTAGAAGTTTTCATTGATGGCTCTGTAACACCAGCCGATTTCATGATCCCTCCTTCGTGCCTTTCCTAAATTTAAGTGACTTGGAAATATACAGATAATATAAATTTATAAATGAAATATCAGAATACTTACCTCGCTTTTGAGATCTTTGTGTAGTGAGCTCAGTAAAGAAGCAAAATACAGGTACTGTTAGTTGGCTACCAGAAATCTGGAATCATGCGGTAGCCATGCAGCTGTCTCAGTAAGTCTGCAAGGTAGTGCCACTTAAGAACCATCTCCTGTAACATAGAAGCTGAAGTGCTTCTGAGGAAGCTGTAGATTTTTAAAAGTACAGTAAACAACAGAAGAGTAGATTTAATTGGTATGTTTCTTTTCTCTTGTTGTAAGGCGTTGTGTCAGGTAATGCAGCTAGTTAAAAATTACCAGTCTCACTTGGGCATGGCTGGTGGGCACTATCACTCACGTTAGGAGTCACAGAGCACATTCCTTCTGAAGGAGGCAAGAGTCAGGGGGCCTCTCTTTGGAACTAAGTATAAAATCATTCTTTTTAATCAAATCTTTAAATCTTTTTAGAGAACTAATATAAAGAATTTAATTATTGAACAGCTAAGCTTTCATGCTTTTCTAATGCTTGCACTTGTGGGGGGGTTTGAAGGAGGGCAAGGGGGAAGAGTTAATTTCAAAGTATTGCTTCTATGAGGCTGAAATGAACCTGTAGAAGATCTTAGCTTCCTTAAAAATTCCTTCTTTCCTATAATGAAAGAGTTAATGTGTCTCTTATATGAAAGTATTTTCATAACTAAAAGAGAATAGATACATGATGCTTTCTGTAGTTTACTTGAAGAATGAATGATAAAAACCAGAGATTTTTCATGCTTTAGCAGTTGAGTGGAATTTTTTTTTATTTGGATGATCTTCAGTTCCTATGTTCTTTTGTCTAATATGACAAAATCCTAGAATTTTAGTAGGTTTAGTAGATTATCTTTAGTCAGGCTCACCACAGGTGAAAAGCTACCTCTCGGCTGATCAGCATGTAACTTAAGGCAATTACACAAGAGGGAAGAGTATGCAGTGTCATCAGTTTCATCAGTTTCATGTACATCACTCCTTTTTTATTCAAGTGTACAAATGATGAATTCTGGGTCATAGAAGTGAACTGGCCTTTTGTTAATATTGGAACAACTTAGTAGATAGATGAACAGAGAAAGATAAAAGTTTTGGACTCCCATCACCTGTGTCTAAATTTTTTAAGATTTTTTTAAACATTGACTAATGATGAATAGCTAGTTAGCCTGAAAATATATAATAAAGGTTCTGATTAGTCCACTGTGCCTGCCTTAACTGTTAGATAGCTTCTGACTTCAATTACACAGTCATGTGTATTACAGTCTTACCTCTGGAATTCACTTTCATTCATGTTAAATGCTGCTTCTTACAGGCTGGTACTTCTCAGTCAATTTAATTTAAATGTCACACTGACCTTTATATGAAATAAGCTGAATTTATTGGAGTTTTTGGAAGTTCTTTTTACTTTTGTTCCAGTTAAAATTCTTAAATTACCAGTATACAAAATATTCATGCTCATTTAGCTCATGAAACTTCCTGCTCATTGATCTCACAAACAATACTTTTTTTTGCAGATGTAGTTCAGCTGAATCTGCCTGAAGATCAAAAAATAAGCACCACTGCAGCAACAGTGGGACAGAGTTGTGTCTTAAGTTGTGCCATCCAGGGAACCCTGAGACCTCCCATCATCTGGAAGAGGAACAATGTCATTCTGAACAGCTTAGATTTGGAAGATATCAGTGTAAGTAACAGAAAGTTCTATTTAACACCTTTTTATCAAAACCTCTCATAAATAATAGAAAAGTGGTGCATAACAAGCTACACATTCCTGATGTTTCAAAGAGAAGAAATGGAAATTATATGCAACAAACTCTGTTTTTATTTGCTGTCTATTTGAAACCCTGTTAAATATAGAAAAAAATATGTTTCACTGACCAATCATTTAAAAAATAAATATAGCAATTAAAGCACATGAGGACTAAATTACAGCCCAAAATACAATCAGCACTATACATTCAGGATTGTATAGTCTTCAAATATTCAAAGAAAAGAGAAATCTGTGACATGAACATTTTCATGTATGAACAGATCATAATAATATTTTTCTTCTGTAATAGTTCAATAGAAATATATTTTTTCCCAAAGTAAGTATTTCATAATAAAATTAGTTGTTCTGCCCATTCTTCCAAATATTCACCTGTGTATACGGTATCTCTCAAAGAATGAAAAACAAAATATTAGTATAATTTATAAATCCTTTTTTTCAGGAAGGCAAGAGTTTGCCACCTAACATAGCCCTGACCTAAAAATACAGAGGAAAATAGGAAATTAGTATATTCATTACATACATTTCATTACATCCACTTGCAAGACTAAAAATAGGCTTTCATCTGTATTTTGTATGCTTCTGGGTATGCTTTCTTTGTTTTGGCCATTTTATATTAGCAAAGTTCTGAATGTGGACAAATTGTCACATTGGGAGTTGCCCTGTCTGTCTAGCCCAAGTGAATCTGAAATCACCTGAACTGTTACATGTGTAGAATAGTGCTACAATCAATTGTTTGTCTATTTTTATTTCTCTTTTTTATGAACGTTTTATTTTTAAGGTGGAAATCGTTCCCACACATCATCTTTCTTTTATTTCTAGTTTTCTTAGTTCTGATGGTAAACTGAGCTTCCTCACAGTGGTGCTTTGTAAAATAAAAGACAATTTCAAAGCTCAAAAGCTCATCTTGCTTGAGTGATGAGTTTTAAGGCTTTTGAGAGGCTTAGGATAAACCCAATATAATCTGATAAGTTCTCTGTTAAATAATAATTGCTTTTGTTAGTCTGATATTAATCACATGACTTACATTGAAAAGTGTCTTCTCCATGTCCACAAGATGTTGTATGCAATATTTGTTACCTTTCTGTAAATACTCCTGATGTTCAAAACTATTATTTGGAGTTCTTACTAATCCTTTCTAAGCTGGCATGAGCTGTTGATAGAAAAAGGAAGATGCATCTGTAAACACAGAAATAAAAGGGGAAATGATGAATGAAAATGATGAAGCTAACAGCTCAGCTTCAGACTGAAAGGTTCAGTTTTTTCCTCTTTTTTTGCAAACATGAAAAGAGTAAGTGATTTCTAAGCTTTCTGAGTATGAAAAAAGCCAAACAAGAACCAAAACAGAAAAAAACAAAAAACCACCAAGCATAGAAAGTTCTTATGCTGGGTGCAGGTGCCCAGGAACTGGCGGCAGGGGCCACAGGTGTGGGCTCTCAGGGAAAGGGACAGAGGGTGTTGCGTGCTGTATGCAGCCAGTCCCAAGGGACCATTGGCAGGGCAGCAGCTCAGACACACCCTGGCAGCTCTGAAAGAACATTCAAAAAAGGGCATAAAAAACCAGGCAGGGAGAGAGATATTATAGAACAAAAAAGAGCAAGAAACAGCAGAGGTAAGTCTAAAGCTGGAAGAGCAGAAGGTAATCTTTGATGAAGCAGATATCCGAAATACCTGCATTAGAGCAGGTTTATCTTGAAGGACAATTGCCTGACCAGTCTGGTGACTTTCTATGATCCAGTGATGGCAATGCTTGACAAGGCAGGTCTGAGAGATGTCACCTATCTAGACTTCTGCAAGGCCTTCAATGCATTTCCACGCAACACCCGGATGGATGGATGGATGGATGGATGGAGCCAGAGGTTATGGTCAACAGCTGTGTCATTGTGTATAAGTGGAGGCCAGTGACAAGAGGTGTCCCTCAGGGATCTGTCTTTGGACTGGTGCCCTTCAACATCTCTGTCAATGACACAGTGGAATTGAGAGAACCCTCAACATGTCTGCAGATGACATGAAACTGAGTGGTGCAGTTGACACATCCGAAAGGTGGGATGCCACCCAGGGGGACCTGGACAAATCTGAGAAGTGGATCCACAGGAACCTCATTGTTCAAAAGCAGAAATTATGTTGCAGTTTATTCCCTTAATTTTATCAGTTTAGTTATGATTCAAATACAGAAAGAGAAGGTCAGATTCAATATCCACAGAGTGAGGCACTAAAATTAATAGAGCTCAAATAAATACATGTGGGATATTAATCTGTCTTTCCAGATAAAATAAAATGGGGAGGAAGAAAGAATTAATGGTGTCTGGATTACAAAAAGAAACAACAAAAGAATGAAGAGAAAGAAATTGAGTTAGATTCATCCCCAGACCTTCCTTTCTTCAGAATTTATTTTACTTTTCACTGTTTTCACAGATTTGATCTATCTCTATTTAATTCTAGATTCTATACTCCTTCTATAATATAAGATGTCCCCAGAGGCAGTGTACTTTAAGTTTTACTCTGGCTGTATTATAAACTATAATGATGTTTGCCTAACTCTGGGAATTCTTAATTTACTCAGTTATTCAAGAACCACATCTGTGCATCTCAAGACTAATAATGTTGTGTAAAGAGCAGTACATTTTCTGAAAATGACAAGGCAAACACTGACCTGAAAAGACAGATAGTTTGGGTTTTGGGTTTTGTTCAGGAAAATGGATCAAAGGTCAGCATAATTGGGAATCAACACATATATAGGAAACCAGTCAGACTAAGCGGTAATGACAACATGATTTTGTAAATCATAAAAAATGCTCATACTTTAGAAATTAATCTTTTGCACTATCCAGTTCTCAATGTGAATTAAGCTATTTGCTTTGAGAAGGGACAAACTCAGAACTATATCATGTCCTAGTATTTTGTCAAATGAAAAAATCCAACAAGAAGGAAGGAATCCAGGTTTCAAACTGAAATTGATAGTTCAATTTATATATATATATATATATATATATATTTTAAATATCCTATTCCTCTACTGAAAGTGTATCAGATATATTTCTAAAGCTGTCAGCTGTGGAGTGGCTAAAAATGAGTCTTGATAATGACTAATGTCGTGTGTATTCTAAGACATTTTAAAGAACTATTAAGAAATACTGTTTGACTTTCAAAGGATGATATAAGAAATTTGTATTTAGATAGTATATTTAAAAATGTTCTATGAAGTGTGTGTTAATAACATTACTGATAATATCCAGTTGATAATTTTAAAAGTCCTTAGCACTTCTCAACTCTTCTTATGGTACTTAGAACTACTATTTGTAGAAGTACTGCATCTTGCTACTAATCCTTCTCTTACTGAAACTGATGGGAGGCAGGGATAATTAGCACCCATCTAAGTAAAATTATGAAAAATTATATGCCTCTGCAAATTTTACTTAAATTGTAATATAATTGTGCTGTGACTCACTACATAACTGATACCACAAGGCATTTTGATGATATTTCAGTACACATATAGAAAGGCTTTTTTTTCCTTGCTGTTATCCTGCATCTTAAATTTAATAGTCGCCTTTCCAGTTTCCTCTTGTTTTTATCTAACCTACTATTCATTACAGATAATTCCCATGTATGAAAAACAGCAGATACGTTTCCCAAATGCAATACATATTACATTTTTAGTGTTAATTTATTCATTTTTCTAAGTCTTCATAACTCATTTTACTTTATTGTTTTTCTGATATTTTATCCCAGGGTTCTTTCCTATGCATATGAGCATTCATGCTATTCTTATAAGATCTTGGCTCTTTTTCTTACATTTATTGAAGACCTACTGAGTTGATTTGTCCACATGCAAAGTTTAACAAAATAGTGTAGTTCAACTTTTTCCTTTCGGGAAAAGCTCATAATATCTTTCTTTAGGCTGCCTCCATGGGGCACATGTAACATTGCCATTTTGGGGTTTTGGAAGTTATGTATAGGTTATCTTTTTTGCAAAACTTTTTATTTGCTTATCTTGTTAAAATTAATTTGCGCATTAAAACTCACCTTTTTTTGGTGGCAGTCGGCATTTTCTTCTTGACCTATTTGCCCTTCACCCACCAAGAAAAAACACAACCCAAAAGACTGTAATGGAGAAAGCCAATAAAAGCTAACATTCTCTAAAGGATATGATCATTTCCATTCTGTAGAGTTCTGATCAGAAACTGGTGTCAGAAAGGTTTCCAGATTGTCCAAAACACTAAGCACCTTTCCCAGAAAGGACTCTGGTCATCAGGCTTCTTCTTTTCCTTACAGCTTATCATTCTATATTCCTTCTTTTATTATTCTTAAGAAAAATATCAAGAGAACCTTATGAATTATTCCTTTCCACATTGTTTTCTCCCATGGGATAGTATGGACCTATATACAAGCTTCTCTTTATGCATTTCTGAATTGTTCTTAATACAGCACAGTTATGACTGTAATACCATGGTTAGAAATATGAATGCCCTGTGTGAGAAAAATGTGTGTGTGTGTGTGCATTTGTGTTTGTACTTCTGACAGAATCCCAGCTGAACCATAAATGTCAGGGAAATATTCTTCAATCTTTTCCCTGAATCACATAAAACAACTCTTAAAAGTAAAAATATATTTTTTTTTAAAAGTTAGGATATAAACTAGAGGACTTAAATTTAAAGAATGTGAAAATTAATAGTCAAAACCAAATAGTGTCCTGGTTCTGGCTAGAATGTTAAATTTTTGCAGTAGCCAGGAGGGAGCATGTCTAGGACACAGATGTATTCTACCACCTAGCATCATTTTTTGGGGAATGGGGGAAGGGTTTCTTTCCACATGAAGCAGCATAGCAAAGGGAGCAGTCACATGTTTTGGGGGGATCTGTGGGGGCAGGTGAGCAATCACCTATGAATCATTCACTTATTTTTTGTATAATGTGT